TCAGAGGAAAAATAAGAAGCAGAAGGTTTCTTATGTCCACGGCCTAAGGTACAGCGAAAAACCACTATTTTGGATATTGATGTCGGCTCACATTGGAAAATGTTCTACTCGTAGAGGTGATTAACGGTGCAAAAGAGATTTTTTTTTGCCACTTCATCTTCTACCTCCAATAAAGCCTTGAACTTTAACATTGAACTCTTATGGAGAAAACCCTCAAAAGTGAAATTTTCCATTTAATGCTTTATGTTAATTTATTTTTTCGAAAACTCTTTTTGAAATGCAATCTACGCATGAAAACACATCCTGTGATGTGCCATACATAATGGTCGTCCTTAAACTTCGGAAGTTGTGACATGGGAATTTTGCTGAAAACGGCTTTTTTGCGACTATCCACCTCACGAACAACGAAGGCGAGGATGAATTGTGGCACGTCACCTGACGCGCTTTTGAGTGTAGATTGCATTTCTTAAAGAGTTTTCGTAATAAAAAATTAAACTAAAGCATTAAATGGAAAATTTCACTTTTGAGTGTTTTCTCCATAAGAGTTCAATGTTAAAGTTCAAGGCTTTATTGGAGGTAGAAGATGAAGTCGCAAAAAAAAATCTCTTTTGCACCGTTAATCACCTCTACGAGTAGAACATTTTCCAAAGTGAGCCGACATCAATATCCAAAATAGTGGTTTTTCGCTGTACCTTAACGGCCACGTCTGGCCATTTTGATGACCCACCTGGTAGGGCCAGTGGAGTCGTCTTGTATTTCTCGCTTCTTAGGACTGTCATTGCTGTCCTCTGTCTCAGATTTTCTTTTACGCCCACCTGTTGCTGCATGTGAGCTGTGGCGAAAGAAACAGATGCTAGCTGGGTGATTGGTTTTAGAGCAATGGATATGGATGCAGGGCGGAAACTTTCCTGTCTGCTTGCCATCGTCAGATTTTGGTTTTGATTTTTGTTGATATTGATTGGTTTTACCCTTGCTGCTGGATGGCCGCCTAGAGTTTCCACTGCGACCTCCATCACGGTGGCCATGTTGATTCCATGAGCCATCCCGTGACTTCCCCGGTCCGGATTTTTGCGCAGACTTTGCACTATTTTGATTTTGAGCAGGGGACTCCTCACTTTTGATCTTGTTGCCTTCTATAAGGAGTTCTTCAGAGATGGTGTTGAAGTCAAGGGTTGGGGTACCATCAGGCAGTTTGGTTTGGCAGGTCCTCACCACAATTTGGCAGAAGGCTTTATGGACTGGTTTTACGTTTGCCATCAGAAGGACCGAACACATCTCGTCCTCCATGGCTTTTCCAGTGTCGGCAATTTGATTGACCACTTCACGAAAATCCAATACATACTGGGTGAGGGAACCTTCTTGTTTCAGATGGTCCATTTTGCGAAGCAGGGAAGCACGGCGGAAAACTCACTTATCCTCGAATGCATGGCAGAGCTTGGACCACGCCTGATGCGCGGTGTTGGCGCCACGCAGATACTTGACGAGACTCTTGTCAATCCCGAAGGAAATCTTCTGGCGTGCCATTAGGTCTTCCTTAAAGATTTTGCCAGTTCGATCGGCAAGGGCCTCAGGGGGTGGATCTTTCATGGTGCACACGAAGAGGTCTCCAAGGTAGAACTCCATAAGCATTCGCCAATCGGCCCAGTTTTCTTCGCCAATCAGTTTATCAAAGGGAGCGTTAAATTGCACTGGGGCCGCATGGTGAGACTCTTCCTTGGAGGATGATTGGTTTTGCTCACCATTTAACGAATCATTTTCTGGGGCACTCTTGCTACCACCTGAGGGGGGGTTTCTTCTTTTTTGGCTTCTTGCTGTGAGCATGTGGGCCTGGCGATGTTCCAATGTTCTACTATGATGTCATAATTTTAGGTGCGGGTTGTGTTCGAAGAGTAAGGCAAAGGCGGTGATGACAATCTTGATATGGCGGCGAGTTTTGAGAAGTGATGGAAAAGTGTGAGGCTCTGCTACCACCTGAAGGACCTTGTTTTGCGTTGTCGTCGTCGGGCATGCTTGCAGCCACTTGCAGCGAGCTTGCAGATATTCGACGAATAAAACTCTTGCAGATTTTTCTTCTTTATTCTTAGGCACAATACTAAAGTCAGAGCTAGAGGCGCGCTCGGCCCATAACCTGTTGTAAATAACTGGTATAAACTACCGATGTCACTGGATATGACTGAGTAGGAGTACAAGCAAAGTAAGATCGACACAGGTTGAAGTTCGGAACGGAAGTGAAAAGTTTATTGAACTGTAGATAACAGGTAACGACAC